TCTTCAGGCAGCCATCTCATAAGCCAAACTCCTAATTTGCCAGCCTGACCCACTTTTTTCCTGAAAGCCCTTTGGTAATTAGTGAGGTGCTCTATAAGTAAGAGTATTCGATTTTTATTATTAGCCAGAAGAGCTGGGTGAAAGTCCTAGCTCTGCCGTTTACTAGCTATGTGACTGCAGATAAGTCAGTCCACTCTTCTGGCTCCCTTTTGTAAGATGGTGATGACTTTACTCTATCATGAAGGGAAATCTGGAGTCTGAGGACCTCAGTTCTCATCCAATTTCTGCCCTTACTGCTTATGTGACCCTGGACAAGTCACTTAACCTCCCTCAGTATCTAGACTTGTAGAAGCAGGTAGACTAGATGATGGCCTATGGAGTGGATTCCAGCTATGATTTCACCGGGTTGCATTGGAAGTAAGCTCTTTGTGAACCTTAAAACACTATACATAGATAGAAGGCACTGGGTGAGCTGAAGATGAAGAGGTGATATCTGGAGAATAAAATTAAGGGGTGAGAGAGGATTATACTGGGAGGAGAAAGGGAAAGGTAGAATGGGGTAAATTATTGTACATAAAACAGACAAGAAAAGGCTTTTACAGTTGAGGGAAAATGGGAAGATAAGAGGGAATGAGTGAATCTTATTTTCATCGGATTTGGCTTAAGAAGGGAATAACATACACACGAATTGGGTATGGAAATCTATTTTACCCTACAGGAAAATAGGGGGGGGAAGGGGATAAGAGAGCAGGGGGGTGATAGAGAGGAGGGTAGATAGGGGGAGTAATCAGAAGTAAAAACTTCTGAGGAGGGACAGGGTCAAAATAGAGAATAGAATAAATGGGTGGGATAGGATGAAGGGAAATATACTCAAATTTTCACAACATGATTACTATGGAAGTGTTTTGCATGACTACACATGTATAATCTGTGTCTAGTTGGCTTGACTTTTCAATGGGGGGGGCGTGAGGAGGGAGGAAGGGAGAAAATTCGGAACCCAAAGTTTTAAAAACACATGTTTAAAAAAATTGTTTTCACATACAACTGGGAAATAATACAGGAAATGGGGTACAGAAATCTATCCTGCCCTACAGGACAATAGAAGAGGAAAGGGATAAGAGAAGGTGGGGAGAGATAGAAGGGAGGGCAGATTAGGGGAATGAGAATACAGAATACATGCCATCTTGGAGTGGGGGGAGGGATGAGATGGGGAGAAAATTTGGAACTCAAAATCTTTTGGAAGTGAATGTTGAAAACTAAAAATAAATAAATGAAAAGAAAAAAAACCACTCTGCAAAAAAGTGATTTCATGGTCTCAGTCCTCATACTGGTTGTTTTGTCTCCCTGTATTACAGCAGGAACTTTGTTTATTTAACACCATTTATCACAAGAGCTCACCTATGTACCATGTCACACCTATCAGAATTGGCCAACATGACAAAACAGGAAAATGATAAATGTTGGAGAAGATGTGGGAAAACTGGAACACTAATGCATTGTTGGTGGAGTTGTGAAATGATCCAACCATTTTGGAACTACAAAAATGTGTATACCCTTTGACCCAGCAACAGCACTTCTAGGGCTATATTCCAAATAGATCATACAAATGGGAAAAGGACCCACACGTATGCCACATTGTTTGATGACTAATATTGATACGCTTAACCCTTCCCAGCAATACAAGATCTAAGACATCTCCAAAGGCCTCATGATGGAAAATGCTATCCCGTCCAAGAAAGAACTATGCAAGTTGAATTGCTATTTTTTTTTCTCTTCTGTTGAGTTTTGTTTCCTCTTTCTGATGGTTCCTCCTATTGGTTCTGATTTTTACTTACAACATTACTAATGTGAAAATATGTTTTAATAGGAATGTATATGTACAGCCTATATCAGATTGTGCACCATTTTGGGGAGGGTGGTGGGGAGGAAGGGGGAGAAAAATTTTAAATTCAAAAGCATATGGAAGTGATTGTTGATAAATCAAAATAAATTAATAAAAAATTAATAAAATAAAATCAATTGCCCCCCCCAAAAAAGAAAAAAAGCTCACCTCTGTTCTGTATGTGCAGAAATTCAGCTCAAAAAAACCTTAAAAAAGAATTCTTCCTCTGTTCCTCTCCTATCCTCCTGGTTGGTCCAATCTAAATTTATTTTTCTCTGTAGGGATGGACCAGAGGATCCAGGGTCCATACTATTGTGAAGGGCTGGGCATTTATCATAAGTTAGGGGATTAGGAATCCAATCTACTTACAAGTCATGGCATCACCATCCTGATGCCATGGTCGTCTTCGAGAATGAAGGACAAGCAACAGCATGGGATTAGGAAATCATTCCCTGTCAGCTACCTGGCTACCTTTCCTTCCCTTCAGCCCACCCTGGACATCAAACGATTGCTCCACGAAGAGATTAGTATTGCTTTCATCACAGGATGCTACAGAGGGAATTCCTGTTTGAGGACTGATTGGACTTGATGACTTGTGTCATCTCTCAGACCTTCTAACTTGCTCTCAGCTTTCATTGGCCCTGTTTTCTTCTGCCTTAAATGTGAGCCCCTCTATCCCAACTACCAATAGTGACCATTTATATATAGTGCCTTTAAGAGGTCAGGGGCTATCTTTCATACATACTGTCCTTACCCCCCAGCTAGACTCTCACTTTCTTGTTCAAACCTATGACATCACTAGCATAACTGTACAGGACCTTGGAAGCTGTCAGCCACAGCAAACTCTATGGTAGGATGCATGAATCCCAGCTAAAAATATCTGATAATGATTATGCAGATTCACCTTGAATACCTCCAGTATTAGAAACTCTTTACACACTGAGGCAGCCCATTCCATTTGCTGGACAATTCTTAATTTATAGGAAGTTTTTTTGGATTATAAATTTGGATTTGGATTTGGAAAGAAGTCGAGTTCTTGCATAAGCTTAGTCAAACTTTATCTTTGTAACTTCCACTCATAGTTTAATTCTCTATATACTTATGTCTATTTCTTGTTTGTCATGACAGCCCTGATATTTAAAGACTCTGATCACAGTCTTCTCTAAATCTTTTCTTTTCTATCCCTCATTTCTTATCTGACATGGCATGGTATTTCTAATCTCTTTTCCATCCCAGTTGTCATACTCTAAATATGCTCCAGATATGTCAACATTCCTAACTGTAAATGTGGTACCTAGATTTCAACACAATCCTGCAGATGTGGTCTCGAAAGGGCAGAAGACAATGGTCTTATCACCTCTACTGCTTTTACATTCTAATCAGTTACAGCATTTCAGAGGGGGAGGGATGTGAGGAAATCATTTTAGTCTTACCTCTCCTATGACAGTGAATCTTCAGTTTACAATCTCTGATTGGATTGCACACTTGAAGTGATAGAGAACGCCATTTCTAGAGAAATGTGTTCCTTTGCTGGACATAGCTCTAATTATGAAGAAAGTGGCTCACATGCTGAGTCAAAATCTGCTCTCCACAATAATTCAGCCCAAGGTTGAATTAGGATTTTATCCAGCCATGTTAAGCTGTAGTCTCATGCTGAGTTTTGTTAGTCATTTCAAACCCCATGTTGAATGACTTATGAACCTTAGTTTATACTGACTGCTGGAGCAGGTGGAGTTGGAGAGTACTGGCTTCCTGACCAATGCTGTGTTTTAACTCATGGACAAATGTGTGTCTAAAGAAGGAAATTTATCTATTTTTATCTATTATAATAAGCTCCATTATCTATGAGGAAGTAGGATTACCTTAACTGATCATCCTTTTGAAACAAGTATACCCTAGAGTGTAGACAACAGAACCCATTATCCTTTTCAATGCCCTAGAGGGCAGATTGAGGCCTTAACCCAAGAGGGGCAGAGAATACTTTCAAACCCAACCTCCTCCCCCTAAATCTAGAAACACCAAGTGGCAAACGAAGTTAGTATTCTCGGCTGCTTTGTTATAAATATATTATATACATTCAAAACATCACCGTAAAATATTATTCCATGTTACAGAAAAGATATTAAGGCTTTATATTATTTACATTAAACAAGCAAGCACCTTAAAAAAAACAACACTCTCCTCTCTTGACAACCCTTCTCCAAAAGGGCTATCATTTCCCTCCCATCCAGTCATCACCTTAGCTCATGGCTCTTGCAGTGCAAAGAAACATCTCTAGCACCAACTGAATTATCGCCTTTCGATGAAAAGGGAAATGTCCGGCTCAAGTCTGTTCCTGGGAGGTGGATAGGTAGGTGAGGTTCCTGAACTGAGCTGGGAGTCAGGGGGCCAGCACAGGTCACATATCCATCTCCCTCAGTCTTGGCAGAGGGGGAGATCAGACTGGCCCAGGGAAGCTTCTCCCCTTGCTTTCCAAGCCCAATAGCAGGTCAGTCAGGCCTTCAGGTAACCCCCAGTCCCAAGGGCAAAAAGGAGACACTATGGTGAATGACCACTGAGTGCAAGAAGATCTGACTGTTGTTTGGGCTCTTTGGGCTCTATGGGCTGTTTTCATGCAGAGCAGCCTTGGAGGACTGCATTCAAAATAAACCAAAAACCCTAATGGACCAGAGTCAAAGTCATGATAACCCTCCACCTTCTGCTCTTCCTCCGGTATCCATGTGGCCCCAGGCTCTCTCAGGCTTTCCCAGTGCAGAAACATGGTGACAATGCCAACCAACCCCTCGTGAGCAGGTTTTTTCCTTCTCCACAAGCTCCCTTGTGTTTCCATGGGATGCTTCTGTGAGGAGGGGGACACTCTACTCTCAAAAATGAAGGGCAGGCACCCCCAGGGATGCTGGCCAGCAGGTATATGGGCCTTGCCCCACCCTCCCTTTCCCCATGTTAATCTGTTACATGTCAAGTAGCATCTTTGTTTCAAAGGAGAGAGAAGCCATCGGTGCTGCCCATCTACTGAGCAGGTCTCCAAGTAATTTCACTTCAAGTCTGGCACTTGGCGGATGGGAAGAGAGGGGTAGGGGTGTGTGTGTGTGTGTGTGTGTGTGTGTGTGTGTGTGTGTGTGTGTGTGTGTGTGTGTGTGTGTGTGTGTGTGTGTGTGTGTGTATGTGTGTGTGTAAGAGAAAGAGAGAAAGAGGCTGTTTGGAAAGGTTGGCAACAAGGTTAGAGCTCATAGGAAAGTTGTTGGGGACTACTTTATCTTCTGGGCCCATTTCATATCATCTGCTCTGGGCTTTTCTCCAGTTAGTCCTTGGATAATATCCTCTAACCGTCTCCAGAATCCAATCTTCTCCAATGGGTAATTAAGCCAGCCTGAATGATGTCATGAAAGAGAAGAAATAGGAAAGCCTGGATTATTTTCTTGAGTTACTCTGGAAGAGTATCAGGCTGTAAATGAAAATCCAATTTGCTCTTCTGTAGAGGGGGGCAGGGCATACTCAAATTCATTGACCAGGAGGAGCTCTGGCAGCCACCTGAAAACTGTGAAAGGATACTGGCTCATACAAAGGCCTAACCCTGAGAAGGAGGTTTCCTTCCCAGATAATTTCACATGAAAGGAATTAGTAGTCTTTGCTAGAAGCAATGCCAACAACTTCTGAAGTTCAAACAACTTAGCCTGGCATTCAATGCTTTCCACAATCTGAGAGGTAAGCATGTAGACTGAATGAAGTATCATCAAATCAAAGGACACAGGTAAAAGAGACTTTAAAAGTCATCCTGATGCAACCTCTCATTTTACAAAGAGGAATACTAAAAGCAGAAATGGATGTGGACTATAGTCTTAAGGACCCTTTCAGTTCTGATGTTCTAATGACCAGGGGATTAATCTGTCTCTTATCTCCACTAAGTTCGTACAGAAATTCCCCTCTGTGCCATGCTGGTCTCCTCACTGTCTCTGTATCTCAAGTTCTTCCACCTCAGAAGCTTGGATTACATTGTTCCTACCACCTGTAGCACCTTCATTCCCTACCTATCCAAATCCTGACTATCCTTCAAGGCCAGATGGAGTCTCCCCTACTCTGGGACACCTTACCTGACCTCTCCCCCTCCTCCAACTCCAATCTTCTCTTCTTCCTTTTAGTCCCTACAGCCATAACCAAGCATTTCTTATCTAATAACATAGATTGTCGGATCTTGTCAATGATCTTTTCACCTGTTTCTGTCCTCTCTCCCTCACTAACCTAGGAGCCCCCTAAGGGCAAGGGCTCTATCTAATGTTCCACTATCTAACCCAACAACTCACCTGTGGTGATACAGAAGTAGGTCTCATGGGGGGACACATGGTGGATTCGGTGGTGCTTTCTGGGTAGGATGATGTGCCAGTCCTGGAGGAAAGTGACCCATCGGGGAAGCCCAACATAGGTGTGAGACCATTTGTGAATTTGGTTGGTGAAGGTCCCAAAGATGATGAGGCAGAAGACAAAACACTCCCAGGGATAGAGCTGATAAAGTTCATCTGTGGGAGGGGAGAGAGACACATACCACGCTAGTCATAGGGTTTACAATGAGACAATGCTGCAATCCAAGATTCCAATCTCAGTTCTTTAAATCACTACCTGTGTAACTTAGGCACAACTTAACCTCTCTATGCCTGTTTTGTCCTACGTAAAGGGAGAGGATTGGATTATATGATCTACCAGCTCTAAGACCTATGACCTTACTTCTCCTCTCCCCCACTGCTGCCATGCTGATGGTGGCCAAAATCGTTTTAGAAACCTAGTTCAGAGGGGTCCTGTTATATCACCACCCTTTATTCAAGGTTAGAATTTCACTTAAATAAGGCCAGGTTTGAAAGGAAGAGGAGATCCAATGTCATTGATTCCTTGGCTATCTGTGGAAGAAAGCTTCCCTAGGTTGGAAGTTTTTCCTTAGAGCTAACTTCAAGCCCTCTTGATGCTCCTCATTTCATAATATTTCCTTCCCTCCCCCACCCCAAGGCAGGAAGTAGATAGGAAGCTGGCTGTGCTCATTATAACTAAGAGGGTATCACAGGATTTAGAGCTGGAAGGAATCTTAAGAGACTGTCTGGTCCAGGGGTGGGGGAACCTGTGGACCCCAGGTTCCCCACCCCTAGTCCAACTCCATTTTATAGGGGAGGCGACTAAAGCCCAGGAAGGGCCAAAGGACTTGACTAACATCATTGAAATCCAATCCAAAAAACGTGTATTAATTACTTGCATGTATAAGGCACAGTGCTGCCTGCTGTAGATAAAAAGACAAGTCTTTCATCTAAAGGAGTTTACATTGTGTGTGTGTGTGTGTGTGTGTGTGTGTGTGTGTGTGTGAGAGAGACAGGTGGGAAGAGATGATGATAATCACCCACACACCCACATCCACATCATACATTGTCTCATTTGATCTCATTTGAACTCTTGGAGGCAAGTTCTCAAAGTATAATCCTCATTTCTGCAGATGTGAAGACTGAAGCTCAGAATGCCGCTGCGCCCATGGCCACAAAGTCAATGTCAGAGATGGGATCTGAGCCTTGGTCTTTCTTAACTTCAAGTCCTGTGCTCTTTTCCTACTGCCATGTTGGCTTTGTCACACAGAAAGTTGTAGGGGCAGGCTTTCAGTCCAAGACTGGGGACTCCATTTTCCCTCAAGCACCACATCCGCTGCCATCCTCAGTGCTCCCTAGCATGTCCTCCATACCTTGGATGCCCTCTGGTCTCCATCATTCACACCTTACCCAGCGGAACCATAACCAACACTGGGTGACTAGGGCTTTGTCCCAGAGCACCAACATGTGGGCATCTGCAAAGGACAGCAGGGAGGAAGCATGATCTCTTCTCCATTCCCTGAGGTTGGGACACTCCACCTCACAAGTGTCACTGTCCTATCATGGGGATGTACTTTACTGGGGCAGCTCATGCGCTACCTGGGGACAAATTCAAGGAGGATGCCTGGGATTAGTAACAATGAGGACATAAGCAGCCTTGGGATAACCTTGGGTTTCTGCCTCCTCTTCATACTGTGCTAACCTTACCTCGCCAATTTGCTCTAGGTACCAGAACTTTAATGATGGATGTCGCCCAGCTTTCCAGAACTACTTTTCTATGATTCCCTCTCCGATTCCCAATAAAGTGTTTTCCACCTTACCCTGATGCTTATTTTAAATCCGTGCCCTTCCCCACCGCACCCCCCAACCTCCAACCCCCTCACCAGGGCTTAGGGTGTTGAACTTGTAGGCCATGTTCACTAGAGGCAGCAGCATCACTAGGCAGTTGTCCCCATTGGTCTCAACAAAGTCGTGCCGGGTGATGGCCGTGGGGTCAATGTGATGCTCCCGAAAAGGCCGGATGAAAGCCTGAGAGAAGGGATGAGACATCTTCTAAGGGCCTCCCATCAGCACAAGGTTGAAGCTCCCCCCTCCCCGGCCCAGCAGCACTGCCAACCAACCTTGGCTGTTACCCCTAAATGCCAATTTTCAGTTAGTCTAACAGATAGGAGTCCTTAGTACCCCACCCTCCCCTCAACACCACAGCAATCACTCACAGGCCATCAGCACCTCTGATTATGTTTTACTCAGAATGTCCTCCCATTACTCAAATCTTGCCCAGTATTCAAGGTAAACCTCCACACGAACACCTGCCTGATTATTCTAATTCACAACATTTTCTTCTTCCTCTGAATGCCTGAACCACCCAACACCATTTGTCATTTGAATCTATGATGGCTGGTGTTTTTCTCTAATGGGTTCCTATGTAGTTTAGGAACCATTGCTCCTACTTCTTGGTAACTCCCACAAGGCTAGGCAAAAAGTAGGGTTCAATAAACACCTGTGGCTTATAGCCAGTGCCCTGTAGGACAGAAAAGAAAGTAAAAGAGCTATATCCAGATTTTAATCTCCTGTAGCCACAGGCTACTGCTGTGGTTACAAGAGCTATTCTGCCCTGACCTCACTAACCAGGCAAGCAGAACAGACTTGCCCTGAAGCCTGATCAACTGGAAAGCCCTGAAGGCCTCTGCACATTTGCCCTCTCTCTAAACAGTAACTATCCCCCACTATCCATTCTGCTAGTAAATCGGCATGGCCCTGGGCTAGGTATTATAGGAGGACAGCCAAAGAGGAGACATAGTCCCAAGTCCTTAAAGAGCTCATAAGAAATTAGCTGAAGATAGTGGCACCCAGAAGACATGCCTAAGAGCTAGTAGTCAGGCTTGAGTACAAACCTTTCCCACCACAGGCAGTTCCACGGAGCCCCAGGTATCGGCCCCCCAATGTACCAGCCCTGACAGGAAGTCAGCGATGAGGGCCCCTGCAACTGAGAGAAAAAGAGGGCGGAGTGAGTACTCTGGTAAGAAGAGAAGTGGAGGGAAGGATTCCTGTTTGGAACTCTAGGGATATTTCCTTAATCTACAAATCCAAGTTCTATTCCTGAAGTCCCTCCCTCAAACATTTTGCTGTCCCCCTTAACCTTTTTCCACCCAGGGATCAGTAAAGTATCTATATATTCTACCCAGTTCCCTTCCCACAGAGTCAGTTACGGAAGGGAAAGTATACTGGATTTGGAGTCAGAGAAACTGGGTTTGAATCTTTGCTCTGCCACTTACTATCTGTGAGACCCTAGGCAAATTGTGTCACCTTCCTGGGCCTCAGTTTCCTTACCTGCAAAACGAGGAGACTGACCTAGATTATCTCTGTGGTCCCTTCCAGCTCAAAATCTATAATCCTGTGACTCCTAGAAGTCCTTGTCCACATAGGATGGCTATTCTCTTCCCTCCTCTGCAATCCTTCTCCCCTAGGCTGGGAAAGGGCTTCAGGAGACTATTAGGGTAGGGGGTGGCTCTTCCTGCTAATAGAAGAGAAGGAAGAGAAGAAGACGATGACAACGACAACAGCGGCTTCCCCAGGTGAAGTGGGAACATAATCAATTAGCAAGAAGTCCTGCTGAAGCTTCTGTCCAGTAGGAAGCATCCACTCTATGACCTTGGACTGCTCCTCCCACTTTGCACCGTGCCTCTGCTATCACTAGAGTAAGTACCACTTGGGTAGACGAGAGTACACGGTATGATCTACCACACTCCCCAAGAGAAACTTTTTCTGGAAAGAGAACCAATAATTGAAAGAGTCAGAAGTCCTTAGTTTGAGTCACCAGGTAACCCTGGATGAGTCACCTAAGTTTTGTGTGCCTCTGTTTGCTTATTTGTGAAGTGGGGATAGCATGTTCACAAAGTTGTTGTGAGCAAAGCATTTCAAAAACGTTAAAGCACTAGGGAAGGGTGAGTTATTATTACATACTGTCAGAGACTGAATCAGGCAACAGCTCAAGAAAGCCAAGCTCCTTGCATAGTTCAGTGACCATACCAGAGCTTCAGAGGGAAAGCTTTGAGGAAGCATCGTCCAGCAGAGAAAGTTTACGCTCTGGCCCTTGGACTGTTCACCCTTTAACCCTCCAGCTTCACTGGGGTTCCTTACACAGGCTGGGGGAAATACGCTTAGAGCAGGACAATCATTCAGCAAATAGTCCATGATCACCTACTGTGTGTAGGTAAGGGCCCTGTGCTAGGACCTGTGACAAAGACAGAGGTGACTGAAAGTTACCCCACCCTCACAGATCATACAATCCAGGAAAGGCAGGGGCCCATGAGAGGAGGGGGAGACAACGTACTAAAGGAGGTTTTTAAAAGCATACGATCAAAAAGGCTATAAACAGGCGGTTTTCAGATGAAGAAATCAAAGCTATCTACAGACATATGAAGCAATGCTCTAAATCACTCTTGATTAGACAAATGAAAATTAAAACAACTCTGAGGTACCACCTCACATCTATCACATTAACAAATATGACAAAAAAGAAACATGATAAATGTTGGAGAGCAGGTGGGAAAACCGGGACACTAATGTACTGTTCATGGAGTTGGGAACTAGTCCAACCATTCTGGAGAGCAATTTGGAACTATGGCCAAAGGGCAATAAAACTGTGCATACTCTTTGACCCAGCAATACCACTACTAGGCCTGTATCTTAAAGGGATCATAAAAAAGGAAAAGAGACATACACATGCAAAAATATCTATAGCAGCACTATTCATGGTGGTAAAATACTGGAAATTGAGGGGATGCCCATCAATTGAGGAACAGCTGAACAAGCTATGGTATATGATTTAATGGAATACTATTGTGCAATAAGAAATGATGAACAGGCAGATTTCAGAAAAATCTGGAAAGACTTGCACAAACTGATGCAAAGTGAAATGAACAGAACCAGGAAAACAATGTACACAGCATCAGCAACACTGTGTGATGATCAACCACGAATGACTCAGCTCTTCTCAGCAACACAGTGATCTAAGACAAGTACAAAGGACTCATGAAGGAAAATACTACCCACATCCAGATAAAAGAACTGATGGACTCTGAATGCAGACTGAAGCATATCTTTTTCACTTCTTTCTTTCTCGTGGGCTTTCCCTCCGCCTTTTGATGTTTCTTTCACAACTGTGACTGATATGGAAATGTTTTACATTATAATAGCACATATATAAATTATATCAAACTGCCTACCATTTTCAGAAGAGGGGAGGGGAAGGGTGAAGAGGGAGAAAAATTGGGAACTCAAAATCTTGTAAAAGTGAATGCTAAAAATTTTGATATGTAATTGAGGAAAAAATAAAATAGTACTTAAAAAAAAAAAAGAGCATTTGAGCAGTACCATCAAAATGCCGCGTCCAGCAGAGAGCCTCTTTTGTTAGAGGCAGCTGTGGGCAGTGGAAAGAGCCCTAGGCCCTGGCTTGGAATGTCGGTTCTGCTCCTTTCTAAGCTGTGCAACCTTAAGCAAGTAAGCTTTTCTCACTGTGCCTGTCTCATCTGTAAGTAGGGTATACTGCTATTTATATTAACTCCTTCACATGACTGTGGTGAGGATCAAATGAGAAAAGCCATTTAAAGCAAGATACAAATGTGAGCTATCCCTATTAGCATTATTATTGTATACCCATTAGCTATTTGAGTGCATGGGAAGTCAAACTCCGAGACAGAGCAGAGAGCTGCTACTTCTCACGACTGCACATCTGTGCTCCTTCAATTTTACTGGCTCTTCCGTAGCATATCGGGATGGCTCATTCTACACCTTCTTTAAATGGGCAGATTGGGCTTCGGAGTAGCCCATGGCCTGTAGGCCTGCTCTTCAATATGATGCCCTCCTCAGCTGTAGCTGTCCTTTACCCAAGCGGAACTTGGGAGTCACTGCTACTTGGGGGCTGTGCCCAGGGGGCAGGAACAGTAGGCTCTGGTTTCACAGCCTTCTCGGGCTGCAGGATGGAAAGGGGGAGAGAGAGAAGAGTTCGGACAGTCACATCCAGTAAGCTAGCTTGTGGCACTGTGTAATCTGGGGAGTTTGTAGGTATCCAAGGGTGGGTATGGAATTCAGACTTTGGGGTGTGTCTTCTTGTGCCTTCATGCACGAATACTTGTGTGTAACCACCAAGGGTGTGGGCCTATCCCAGAACCTAGGGAGTACGTACCTTAAACATATGCTTTTGACAGGGGCCTGGTATTGGGGTACTGCATTCCCACTCAACCTACTGTAGTGGGAAAATTGGGATCTTTTGCTACTAACTTCCTGTGACATCTTTAGTTTCCTTACCTGGGAAATGAGGGGGGTAGGCTAAATAATACACTTAGATTGGGGAAAAAATTGCACTTTCACTAATCTCTAACTGAATTTTCAATTATGAATGCAGGCAACAAACATTCTTCTGAGAAATAGTCCACAGGCTGGCTGTACCAGACGGCCAAAGGGGTTCATGACGCAAAAACAGTTAAGAACCACTGCACCAAGGTCCCTTCCAGTGGTGAGATTCTGTTTTCCTCTGCATAGGAAGTGGGATTATTTTCACACAGGTTTCACACATATTTTCATACAGATTACACGGGAATAAGGGAAGAATATTATAGAAAACATCCAATTCCCCCATTAGGTCCCTTCTCTTCCAAGCATATGATCCAACGAAGGGCCTGTTCTCAGGTGAGGAGACCATGAAAAGGCAACCACCTAGTGCTGTCTACCCCTCACCCTAGCACATCTCTGTCTGATAATATTAGTCTGACAACTAATGCCCCTAGTTAGGCCAAGCTACGCATAGAGAGACCATCCCAAGGATGGTCCCAGCTTGCACGATGTCTCAGGTGTTCTGTTTTACCTGTTCTCGCTATTCCCTAGCCCAGGCTCTCTCACTAGGCCCAACAGACCCAGATACTAAGGTCATAAAAGACAACAACTTTTGGAAATTTGTCTTGTCTTGGAAACTCCCTGGCACCACAGGATCAGAAAATGTCAGTGCTAGGAGAAACCCCATCGAGTCTGAACTACACCCTGAATCAGGAATTACTTTTACGGTCTATTTGAAAAGCGATTATTCATCACTTGTATTAGATGGGGGGGCGGCATGTTGTATTAAAATGTGTTAACCTCAGATTCAGGTGTTCTCAGTTTGATTCTGTGTTCTGATGAATGTGCTATCTTCCTTAGAGAATACAGTGGCATGTAAGGCACTCCCAGGCACTCAAGAGTTGTCACTGGCTTTCCTGTATAATCACTTGCCAACCCTTCCAATACTGGAGCCTCTTCCTAGGACATCTATCAACCCCAAAGATATTAAAATGCATCAATCAAACAAGCTTTCTTAAATACTTCCCACTGATCTTTGATCTCGCCTTACGACTCATTCTACTTCTGTAAGATTATGACCCATGAGTGTCCCCATCCTGGGAGATTCTTCATCAGGAATGTCTTTTTTTTTTTTTAAATTGCAATTTAAAATCTGAACCCCTAATTTCGTCCATTGATATAGGAAATTCCTGATGGTAAAACAATCATCCCTCATGCAGATGGACTTTTCTTTAACTTGAAGGTGTTTGATAGCTATGTATCTGCAATGAGATACACTGGGGTTAGGTGTGTGTGAGTGTTAAGTTACACTGTGTGTATGAGTCATAGTTATGGAGGGATGGGTGCTGTTTAAGAGCCTCAGTTTACTCATATCTGTAAAATGGGATCAATAATGCTCACACAAAATGATTCCTGCTCCACAGGGTAGCTGTAGCTTTGCAAGCCTTAAAGAACGTGAATGTGTAAATGTGAATTGTTATTTTCATGAACTGTTTGACCTTAGGCAAATGATTTATTCTCTGGGTCTCATTTCTGTCATCTGTGAAATGAAAACATTAAATAGCCTCTAAGTTCCCTTAGGGCTCTATATCTTACAATCCTATTTTTAAAAAAAATTGTAAATACTACATGCAGTATAGATGAACAGGGCTG